ACTGAAGGGTGTTATCAGCAAAGTCAATGTCAGAAAAATACTGTGCCTGTTTCCAATATCCACAGTGTGTCGTAACGTATTTGGTGGCTACTGTACACATGACATGTATAAAAGAACTGCAACACAGTGTATTCGGTCACCTGTTCATATCGTATTTTGCTATAAATAGAAATATTCATTACACTTTATTTTAAGGTGTCCTTGTTACAGTAGTTAAGCACTGAGTAATACTAATTAACAACATCTACTTACTGTAGGATTAAGATTAGGGTTTGTTTTAGGGTAAAGTGCATGCAACAATGCATAATTTACTGTTATTACAGTATTTTTTATTACATTAGCCGTCACCCCTTTAATCTACAGAATTATGCATACAGTATATGCATGCACATGTATGCAAACCATGTAAACTACTAAAAAATAGCCTTGACTTGGTTAAATATATTGATATATTCTCTTGTATGGTTTATAGAAATATGAATATGCAGCAAAATAAGCCTAAGAATGGGATTGTCTTTTTCTTTTTTTACACTGAAATGTCTTGTATGCAGTGTTTCCAACACTCCTCTTTGTGGTCTCTACCATTTCTTGCACTACACAATCACAGGATGTTTTTCAGCATCCCCTCTCTTTTATATACAGAATTCACACAGCTCAATACACCTCTTCTCAGCTCTCAAGGTTCAAGAGTGCCTGGCATACTAACCAAATAGAGCGAGGCTCCTATGACATCAGAGCGTGGACGATTATCCTCCTATACGGTTCCTCTTAACAGGGCTTTTTGCCAGGGACCAAGAGAACCCTTCATTTAAATCCAAAAGCATGTGCTCCTGTCTGGGCCCCAGTGTTGAAAGATTCCCCATTGTTCTCTGGGGCCTGGTGGTTCTGCTAACATGCTGGAGGGGAAGTTTTTGCACTTCTTCAAGATATCAGCTCCTCTCTAGCTTATGGCATGTGCTGCCTCATTCTAAACAAAGGCACCATATGAGTGCAATATGTGACCTTACAAGTCCTGGGAAAGCCAAACATATGAGTGGAATTACTTTAAAACCTTCAGCTACAGATGAAAGTGTGCATAGAGAATCATTTGTATTCTATAATGCAGTGGTTTTCAAACCCTGGGTCATGACCCTCAGGTGGGTCGCCAGGATGATTTAAGGATAATATATGTATGCACTGTATGTAACAAAATTCAAGATTCAGGGAAGAAACATAACTTTAATAACTAAATAAACATAAACAACAAACTGAAAGTAAGCGGCAACCAACTCACAGCAGAATCCAATGTACGTTTGTGTTTGCACTCCGTTTTTGTAGTTTTGTAGTGTTGAACATTGTAACCAATCACAGACATATCTGTTGATTTCTGGAAAGCAATGGCCAATCAGAGGGGTGTTTGTTCAGTCCTGAGTTTAGATGCAATGTAAATAAGAGATTAATTGTGCCATGTAGAGAGATTGACTGATTATAGCAGAATTTTGCAACCAGATTTTTCAGGATTCTGTGATGCAACATTGTAAATGTATTTACTGTCGTTTTAATCAGTTTAATGTGTCCTTGCTGAATGAAAGTGTTTATTTCATTTAAAAAAAATGTAAAACACGTACTGACCCTAGACTTCTGAATGTTACTGTATGTCTACAATAAATATTCTTCCTTCTCTATAAAGCAGTGTCAGAGTATATGGTCAAGTGCTCAAAGCAAATACACAGGAGAGCCCATCAATGGAGAAAACATCACCATAAAAAAATACAGAAACAGTCTGGAAAAAACAGCAACTCAGACTGTGCAAACAAGCAAATTTGCCTGCTGGAGGAAAATGTAGCCTACATAATGCATGTCTAAGGAAAGCAATGCTTTAGGTACAAGGTACATTTGTCTCAGCAGCATCAATACTATTGAGCAATCCTCTTGGAGAATCCAGTACCGAGTGAATTAAGCAGAACTCAGTTAGGAAAGAAGCAGGCGCTGTGGGAGGAAGGGTGTGTCTGGTGGTGTGCAACCTACATCACTTTTAACTTCCTTCAAGGAAATCTATATGTGGCAGAGTCCTCAGCAGGCAAACACTGTGGTTTTAATGGACCATGTTGTAAGCAAACCAAAAGAATGTATGCAAACTAAGCAAATCTAAAAACGACAGTGTGATTTCAATGGCAACTGGCATGACAGAGCATAACCCAAGTAAAATGTAGCAATTTGCAGCAGTTGCAGTTGCAATTTAAAAAAGTGCACTGCAAAGTTAATGTCAGCATTAAATAAAGTCATTACTCAAGATCTGTGAGCCAAGTTTTCCATTACTGCTTTTAAGTCTACTTAACTGAGCCAGCAATCTTCCTTCTTTCTACCGCTTGCTATAATTGCTTCACCTAAGCCTTCACACACAGCCTGTTTCACACACAAACTGGGGCAAGATATTGTAAAGTTCAATCAAGACACCCATCTCTGCGTGTGCAAGCAAAGGTAAGAAAATCTCATTAAAAAGATTCTCATTAAGCCATATTGATTTCCAACCAGCAGCCACGGTGAAGACATCAAACAGTAGAATACATCTCATCCAGTCTAAAGGGGGTAATATGATGTCAGTGGGGAACTGGGGCGTCTTAAAGGCTTTTGAGCAAAGCACACAATGACTTGAGTGAAATCACATGCATCTTGAATGAGGGGCTGAATTAGAAAGTGCATTTGGTGCCTAAATGATACTGATATGGGCTAGTGGGCAAATCTTATCAGTGATAGAGATATGCAAACTCAGATTACAGCAGTTCAAGTATAAAACAAAACTTTATAATACTTGAATGAAAATAAAATAAAAATAATTTCATTTAAGGATTAGAGAAATTTTGGGAGCTTAGGATTTAAAAAAAATATTTCTTACTCGCAAATCTTAAACTATAAAATATAGTTTGCCATAACTAGCACAATGCATATTATTCATAAAAATGGCCATGAAGTTTTAAGATTTTTTCTTGGTTTTCCAAGACTTGAATCCTGGTTCTTTAAAGGAAACAACAGGCGTTCAGGGAGTAAAATAAGAAATACCTTGTAAATATTTTTAGTTGTTTCATCTTATTTTATTGTTTATATCATTTTAAGTCATCTTTAGGCCATCCTGCAGGTTTGCTAAGTTCCTGGTGAGCTCCGGTCCCCTAGTTGAGAACCATTACTATAAACAAAAACTGAACCAAAAGCGGTGACACAGTGCATGTGATTTTTCCTGTACATTTAAGATAAGCACATGATTTAAGATCCCTGGAAGTCAAATCAACTTTTGACATGGATATAAATCCTCCTGCACAACTAAAACGTAAACATATTGTCACCAAAGCAAAATGAAGACTATGGACCCAAGCCATACAAGGAATTTAGAGCTGCCACTGGGACTCTACACATCCAACAGCCACACTCGGAACCAACCACGCTTCTTTCCATCTCACCACAGCAGGCTTCGTATAAAAATAATTAGGGGTTAGACAGAGTTCTCTTTACTCAACCTACTCTGGGATAATCATATACAGATGGCATGAAGCCCTTTCCCCTTAAAAGAATGCAATGTTTGATAAGATCATGTGTACTTGAGGACAATGACAAATAAGCATGTCAGAAATTATAAGAAAGGAGAAATATATACTGAAACATTTGTGCAAAGCTTTTGGAAATGCAATCTTTCTATTCATGTTTGTTTCACACATTTAAAAAAAAAATGAAAAAAAAGTTTAGACCATTTTTTAAGAAAATGTTGTTTTAGTGACTGAAAATGTCAAGTGGTGTAACCATCAAGTACTAAAGCTATTTCTTATAATATATATATATATATATATATTGTTTTAAGTTCAAATATTTTCAAGGTAGAAAGCATAGGCAGTGCTGGATGAGATAAGATTACTTACAAATTGTAGTCCGTTACTGATTCCAAATTACATGCCAAAAATTGTGGTTCATAACATAATCAATTACATTACACATTTCAGCTAATATAATCAGACTACTTTGATTACGTAATCTAGATTACATGAAATTGTTTCCTACCAAGCACTGAGTTTAGTTTTTTTTTCTTGCATTCTTATGCCTTTTCAAAAAAATATTATTATTTTTATTAATTTATGAATTTTTAATTCAACTACATTGACACTCAGTGTGGGTCAAGTCACAGGGGTTCAAAATGTACATAGGCAGTGCTGGATGAGATAAGATTACTTACAAATTGTAGTCCGTTACTGATTCCAAATTACATGCCAAAAATTGTGGTTCGTAACATAATCAATTACATTACACATTTCAGCTAATATAATCAGACTACTTTGATTACGTAATCTAGATTACATGAAATTGTTTCCTACCAAGCACTGAGTTTAGTTTTTTTTTATTAACTAAATTAATTGTTTAATATTCTTGCATTCTTATGCCTTTTCAATTTTTTTTATTAATTTATGAATTTTTAATTCAACTACATTGACACTCAGTGTGGGTCAAGTCACAGGGGTTCAAAATGTACAAAATAACTTCCTGCATGTTGCATCCTGCCACTCTTATCATCTGAATTTTTTTTTTAAAGAAATAACTATAAAAGACTGTGCAACTGCTTATGCCAAGATAATCTCAACTTTCTTTCTTTTTTATACTCTCAGGACAGTTACACCACCTAGACATTTTGACTTAAAGTCTCACAATAAGCCACCAATCCGGACAATACAAAACATCACGCCATTCAACCATTATATCATTTAATCTGTGTGTATGAAATACATGTCCCGTTATCTCTTATTTAAACTACTGTGCCCACGCCCACAATCAACAGATTACGTCTTCGTACACTGCCTGTCGTTTTCGTATAATATCCTCAATTAAAAATATAAAATTTGATATAAGATAACACCCCAAAATAAATAACATTAATAGTATAATAGTGTAAACAGAGTACACGTCCGACTGTAAGTTACTAGTTACATTTACTAGAGTCCAGCTGAGCCTCTGGACAGAGTGATGACCGGAGCTTCGTTTACCTGCGGGGTTTCCATGAAAACACTTTGTCTGAACTTTCCACGGCGGATCTCCATCTCCAGCGCGGAGCCCCGAGCGATAGTCGCTCTCGCTGTCTGATTTCGGCAAAACATTCGCGACTTCTTAACTCGACCCCTCACTCCCGATAAACCCTGTTTATTCTCACAGACTTGAGACCAAGCCGCAGTTTGGTTTGGAGACGCTCCACGCTGTCACTACAGTCACGTTCATGTAAATCAGATGAGCTCTCTCCTCTCTAACAAACTACAACAGCACACTACTCTCCTGCTCGCACCACTTTAATCTCGCATCAACAAAGCGGAGATGGTCCTCGCTGCACGAGGGGCTACTGGGACAACGCGTGTGATTGAATTCCCAGAGCAGATGAGCTCCGAGTTACTTTCCGAGATGATGAGCCAGGTAAAACAGCGTCCTCTGTTGGCGGATGAGCCGTATATCAACAAAAACACGTAGGCTACTGCAGGCCAGACTATTGTAACGTTGAACTCTTCCTAAAAGAGTGGGGATATTAAAAAGGTTACATTTCTGACGTCGCTACCTTTGATGCGACAAAATGGCGCAAACACGATGAGCGTTTCAAGCTAGGAAAGTTACATGCTAAATTGAAGACTGGATTAAACAGACTCGAGTTTGAGGAGTGGCAGTTTGGCAGAGTTTGGTCACCTTGGTGGCCACAGATGTAAAAAATACCTACTAAGAAATTACACTTTAGTAAAGGTATGGATTATGTCTGAATTTTACTCAAGTTTCTAGCCCAAAACATACTCGAGTGAAGGTAGGCCTGAAAAGATTCCCCATTTGGTTAAATAGCCTACAAAATCTGTTTTATTGCCTGACTGGGCAGTTTGTTAAAATCCTCAGATTTTAAGCTTCAGAACAGCTTTAAACTTTCAGGTCAAGCTTTGGTAATTTAGCATCTTTTGTCTTGACTAACTTTAGGCTACTCTTCTAATTCCTATAATCCTTTATAATTCTTAATCTTTGTTGTAAGGCATAGCCTACTATGAAGTCTATGATAGGGTACTAAAAGGAAGATAGAAAGTAAATTCAGAATGAAGTGACAATATCACACCAAATACTGCCACCTTGTGTTTAACATTTAAAAAGATGTGATCATTTCTACCTGGTGAAGATGGAAGTGTGATGGGGACCCAGCGAGTGTGGAGTTTACACAGGTAACCAAAGCATCGAGTCTGACAAATAGCCAGAGGCGGACAGTAACTAAGTATATTTACTTGAGTATTGTACTTAAGTACACTCTTTGGGTATCTGTACTTTACTTGAGTATTATTTTTTCTGGGAACTTATGACTTTAACTTCACTACATTTGAAAGACAAATATTGTACTTTTCACTCCACTACATTTCTATCAAGTTCCTCGAAGTAGAAAGTCGTTACTATGTAGCAGCTCTGAAAAATTCAGACAGTTTATCAGTAATCACTCTTGTGATGAAATGATTTCCCAGCATTTTTTGAACACTGACCAGCTGCAAATGTGATATTTAAGGTCCTCGAAGTAGAAAGTCGTTACTATGTAGCAGCTCTGAAAAATTCAGACAGTTTATCAGTAATCACTCTTGCAGGGCTACATGAAATGATTTCCCAGCATTTTTTGAACACTGCCCAGTTGCAAATGTGATATTTATTTACAAGGGAGCTTCTGATTAAATGGAACTAAAAAAAAAACATGGTTATTAGATAAAAGAGAGAATAATGTGGCTTAAAATGTGTTTGCTTAAAAGGAAATATATATACAATATCTAAAGACAACTAAATCCAAGACTTATATTCAGAGGCGGACAGTAACTAAGTACATTTACTTGAGTATTGTACTTAAGTACACTTTTTGAGTATCTGTACTTTACTTGAGTATAATTTTTTCTGGGAACTTATGACTTTAACTTCACTACATTTGAAAGACAAATATTGTACTTTTCACTCCACTACATTTCTATCAAGTTCCTCGAAGTAGAAAGTCGTTACTATGTAGCAGCTCTGAAAAATTCAGACAGTTTATCAGTAATCACTCTTGTGATGAAATGATTTCCCAGCATTTTTTGAACACTGACCAGCTGCAA